GGCAATTACTTGAAAGTTATAATTTTGCAAGTATTCACTATTTGAAATATATATATATTTCATGCATAGCACTCCTTTTACCTTAGTTTTGTTTTTGACTATATTTCCAAGAGCAAAATAAATCACAACAAAGAAACCGCATAATGTCCCGTTTATCTAGTAGTTGGATTCGTCATTTGCTAGGACAAGAAACTTATCAGCCGTTAGGGAATTCTGTGGATTCATCTCAAGCTAATAACGAACCATTACCTGGTCACTATCCTGAAGAACCGGTTCTTCAGAGTAATAGGAATGCAATAAATTCTAACTCCATTCAACATCTATTCAAAAATGTGGGTAATTGGATCAGTTTCCTTCTCATAAAACCTATTATAATTATGTTGATTCTTTCGTTTAGAATATTGGCGAAGATTATAAATATAATATATTTCAGAGACCAATACACAAGGTCTAATTCAAGGAATACAGCTAACTTAGCTATAAATAAAACTGGATTGAATGATTCTATAGACAAAGTTAACAAATTTATTCGTGATCTTGAGGATAATTTAACCCCCGTACAACATCAAAACTTGGAGAGTGGTCTAAGTCCTCAATTGCCACCATTCTTTCTTGGTAGCTATACTCAAGCCTTATATATGGCGACTAATAGGGCAAAATTCTTGTTTGTTTACCTATCCAATCCGCAAAATGAAAATTCATCTACTATATTTAACAAGGTAATAACAAATCCAGATTTTATTTCCCTTTTTAATTCTAATCCAAATATTTTAATATGGGGAGGAGATTTAACTAATCCTGAAGCTTATCAATTAGCCAATAGTTTAAATGTTACAAAGTTCCCGTTTCTTGGCTTATTATGTCTCACCAGAACAACAACTATGTCACAACAAGGTCCCGTCAAGACAAGTCCTAAAATATCTTTGATTCTGAAAATTCAAGGTGGACTTGACGAGGATGTAAACATACGTACAACAGTAATTGATAAATTTAAAAGGAAAATACGCAAATTTGATGAAGAATTGATAGTAATGAGAACTGAATTGAGAGACAAGTACATGAGTCAGGTTTTATTACGACAACAGGATATCAACTATCAGAACTCTTTGAAAAATGATCAGTTGAAAAAACAAGAAAAATTATACAAACAATTAAAGAACGAGTACTTGAATTGGAAAAGCGTATATTTCAATAAGCTAAAAGAAGAAAATGACCATGAAGACAGTGCTAAAATTGCAATCAAGTTATCTGATGGTGAGAGAGTAACATTTCATTTTCCATCACAAAATTTAATAGATGATATATTTATATTTGTTGAGCTACAAAATGGTAATTACCTAGATGGTAGTATAAAGAGTACAATAACTGACGATGAAGCCTCTGAAAGATTTAAAGATTTTAAACTAAATTATAAATTTAAATTAGTATCACCATTACCTCCGAGAACAGTATTGAACAATTATTTGGATGAAGAAAATCATCCCATAATAAGAGATATAAATTATATCTACCCTAATGGGTTGTTAATAGTGGAAGATGTATAGTTCAATTATTTATTAATGTAATTTATAGTTTTATATTTATTTCGTAATTATCGTAATGTACAAGATTTTAACTATTTAGAAACTTTACCCGACTTCTTGTTCTTTTTCTTATCCTTCTTTTTCAACCCAACAAATCCATTTTTAATCACTTGAACATACTCACTCCAAAATTGATCCAAATTACTTGTTTCAACAACTGTTGATAGTTTTGTTTTCTGCTTTGATTGAGAAGAGCTTTTCATATTTCCCGAATTCATAGAAATTCGGATAAGAACAGGATAAGTTGTTGTATTTTTTTCAAACGCTTCTGTCTTGATTACATTGGAAGATAAGTCGTTAATCTTTGAAGTTGGTTCATCTATTGGCAATGTTGATGTTAACCGTTTTTGCGTTAAATAAACAGAGGATTCACCATTATTTGATATTAATACCTCCGATAACTTCGTTAAAAATTCTGAGTTATTAAGTCTTCCCATCTTGATTTGTAGTCAAACCTAATAAACTTTAACTATGTTTCGTTGATAATTTTTCTTCGAGATTTTGAATGCTCGGAATTTTGAAAATAATTTGGTTGCGGATTTTTTCTTATCTCTATACAATATCGAGACAGACTGTTTCTTTTCCTTTGGTATTTGAAATTGTCCTACTAATGGCTTTGAATTTTCAAAATAATGAGGTTCGTAATACACGTAGATTAAGGTCATTAATTGTCTCAGTTTTGGTTTCATTAGCATCAGGAACGCCTTATCTATACGGAACATATGCACCTCAGTTTATTAAGAGGGTTGGATTAACAACATCAGATTCTGCCACAATTTCATTGGCGACGACTATTGGTTGTGGCCTAGGTGGTATTCCAGGAGGATTATTAATTGATGAATATGGTCCTTCTGTAGCCATTGGTATTGGATCAGTTAGTATATTTGTTGGTTACTATGGTCTATACAAGATATATGAAGAGGAGGTTTTTAACTTATCATTAATTAATATTTCCATGATTTTAATGGGTTTTGGATCAATTATCAGTTACTTTTCGACTATGAAAGCTGTTCAGGCAAATTTTCCGGATCATAAAGGCATTGCAGGTTGTATTCCAGTGAGTGCGTTCGGGTTATCTGCTACAGTATTTTCTACTATAAGCGCAACTATATTCAAGCAAAAAGTAGGTAAGTTTCTTCGCTTTTTAGCATTTTTCTGTGGATTAATAACTTTTTTTGGATCTTGGTTCGTTAAGATATATAATAGTGATTGTAAAATAGCAAACTCCATTCCAGAATCTGATGAAGAATCTAGACTAATAATTAAAAATAACAAAGATGCTTTCCTCTATGAGACCAATAATAGTAATGAAGACTCCAAAACAATACCATCTGCAAGCAAGATTTCTTTAGGAAAATTGCATTTTAACAATCGGAGTATTTCTGACCCATCGATAAGTGGAATATATGAACATATCCCTAGTTCCTCGACTACTTCATTTGCATCTAAATCACTAATCGATATTCAAGACCTGTACAGCGCATTAAACCAAACCCATTCAGTCTCATTAGCCAAGAATAAGGATTCTCATGATTCAAATGTACCCACCAGGGATTCCAAAAATCCCTTGACTTATATCAAACATTTATTGACTAATAAAGTATTCCTTTATCACTTTTTTATTGTTTCACTATCTAGCGGAATTGGCCAGATGTATATTTACTCAGTTGGCTTTATCGTCAAGGCTCAAGTCAATTATAGACCAAACTACATATATTCTAGGGACATATCTTCTAGGGACACTATAGATAACATACCATTCACTAATGCAATGAAAAATACTACAGTAACGCTCCAAGCATTACAAGTTTCCTTAATTTCAATCTCTTCCTTTTTGGGAAGGCTAATATCGGGATTTTTATCTGACTTTATCAATAAAAGCTATGGTATTCAAAGACTATGGATTGTAGCAGGTACGATATTGATTGTTGCACTCTGTCAGTTAATTTTGGTCCTCAATGATAATAGCGTTGGTTTGCTTCATTTGACTTCTATATTAACTGGAGGCTGTTATGGATTAATTTTTGGTAATTATCCAGCAATAATTGCAGATGAATTTGGAACTCAAGCATTCTCAACTACATGGGGCTTGATTTGTACTGGCCCTATGATAACATTATATGCACTAAACAAATACTTTGGGATCATCTACGATAGAAATACAGAATCTGACACTGGGATCTGTTATAGAGGAACAAGCTGTTACAAAGGAGCTTTTAAACTTAGTTTCATTCTATGTTTTGCCATTCTTTCTGTGACATTATTCTTGATACATTCTCAACGTCGTAGGCACTAGTAAAAAGGTATTTAATTTAGATCTTTAATATAGTGAAATAAAAGTACTTACGTGCTTATTCAGCTAAACGTTATCATCATGTAATTTACTATAAACAGGAATATAAATACTATATATATAGATGTGAGCAATGGAGAATTTAATTCTAGTCAACCGTATTTAAACTTTCTAAGTCTATGTCATCAACGAGTTGCATCTGATAATCGATCTTACCTAATAATTTCTCAAAATACCCGGAGCTTAATTCTGCATCCTTAATACACTTTTCCAATTTTTCCTTTTCCCCTAACCGTTTGTCAATAGTAGTTTGAAAGTTATTCATAACTTGTCTTGATGGGTAATTAAGAACTTGTCTGCATTCTTTTGATATTCTATCCGCATTAATATGTGGATAGTCCATATCAAAAATTTGCTTTTTAATCTTCCGAGCTTGCTTTCTTGGAAAAGCATTAGGAATATCATTTACTAGATAATAAACAGTAAACCCTGTGATTCCCAATAGAATCGGTCCAGCAAATTTCTTTAAAAGTGAAGGCCTAATTAAATGAGATACGGAATATAGTTTGCGGATTAAGGCACCAGTAGTTAACAATTTTGTTGAAGAGTACAACGTGTGTAAAGTCAATTGCGTGGGTAATTGATTCTTCAATGACATAGCAGAAGATGGTAAATTGGATATTAAATTCGATGAGTTGTAGAAACTTAATTGCAGTCTAGTATTTGAAACAAACTCTTTTGGTATTCCTAACCACATTAAACAGGACTCCCATGAAGGATCGAAAAAGTCACTAAATTCAATCAGATCATTTAAATTCTTTTTAATTGTATCACGCCTTCTCGTAAACATCAAATCAGGTTTAAAAACCTTATCATGCAAAAATTCATCTCCCAAAGTTGTCTTCCCGAATTTAATTATTTCCTCTACTTTTGCACTAGTAAGATTCTTTGCTTGACTTTCACTACTACTAACAGCCGAAAGTACTGTTTCAATCATCACCCTCTGGGTTTCCATCGCATACTCATATATATATTGTAATCCTTCGTATGGAACAACTTGATGATCTCCAAATTCATTTACAGTTGTCAAAATTTCGTTCTTTGTGAAATCATAAATTTCTGTACAAGTTTTTTCTACCAAACTGTTAATAGAATCATTGATTTTAACACTCAGTTGTAAGATTTCCTCATACTTAGGAGTAATCAGACTATTCAACTCAATTAACTTGTCTTTCTTTTCTTGAACATATATTTTCTCATTTATTTGTGACAAAGAATGCAAATCATTTAGCAAATTAATTAAATAACTTTTAGCCGGTAATAATTTTGATATAGCTCTTTTGTCTAATATAAACTTTCTTAAAGAAGCTTCTAAGTTATCAAAGTCTGGATTGCTATCATTATTATGATTATTATTATCGTCGTCCCCATCTCCTCCATCTCCATCTCCTCCATCTGGCGAATTATTCAAAGCGTCCGAAGAACTGACAAAATGGACAAATTCTTTCGCGTTCTTGTAAGTGTCTGGAGATAAACTTTTAATTTGCTCCAAAATCTTGGACATACACTTATTTTTATCATTAATATTATCAAACTTGTTAACCACAATAAAAACGTATCTTTTCTCTGCTGCTGCTGCTGCAATAAATTCTTTCGCTGATAAAGTAAAATGGTTCTCTGAATTAACCACAAATACAACTAAATCAATTTCTTCTTGTCTTGAAAATACTTGAGTAGTTTGATACAGGTCCATATTTAAACCAGGAGCATCGATCAACTTAATATCAATAACACCATTATGTAATAAACTTTCGGTTAAAGAACGATGATCTAAAACATAGACCTTTAATAATTTATATTTATCACATTCATATACCAAATCTTCTAACTCATTTAAATTGTGAATTTCATAAGATGATTCATCCCTAATGTTGTAATCACATCCAATGCAAACTGCATGAACTTCTTCTACACCTTTATTTTCTTTTGTTGCATCAATGACTTCACAGAACACTGAAGTACATGGCTGCTGGTCTTCTGGTAATACTTTCCTTCTCAATAATGCATTACAAAATGTAGATTTACCAGCATTCAAATCACCAGTAACAAAGACCTTGGACGAAGTATCGTCAACCCTATCTTTTAAATTAAGCAAATATTTAACTTGCTGATTTAATTTTTGTTCTAACAACGTCGCAAGAGAGGCCTTATCTAAATTTTTAACTAAATTATCATTGTTGTGATTATTATGTCCCATTTTAATGCTTAACTTCAAAACTTTAAATTCAGGTATTCTTTCATCCTCTTCAACATTCTTTGGGATTTTTGCCTTACTTAGAGTCTTCGCAGACGCAGTCAGATTATTTCTAACAAGAGCCAAATGTGCCCTGGGTGAATTCAATAATAGACTTGAATCATCTTCAGTATCAGTGGGATAAAATATAGGACGTTCCTTATTTTCATTAGATAATTCATACAACAACTCGATGGTTTGATTTATAGTCCTATCTAAAGCAATCTTATTTTCGTTATAATTAAGCTGTTGAATAGACGCATTTAATTGTTTCTTCTTATTGCTGAATAGCATACCTGAAGACAGTCCACCTTGCCCTTCAAATAATGTAGTTGAATCATTACCAAACGTCCCCTCATCAGGCATGTACATCACGGTAGCTGGGAGATCTGTGCTTTCATTCTCATCAACTAGTGTAGATGCATCGTCGTTAGCACCTTCCAAATTTTTGAATCCTTTTTGACTCATTTCGTTAGTAGAACATATATTAGACGCTTGAATTCTATATATGGTGGCACTAGCGAAGTAAATCTGTTTTTTTTTTATGATTCCTCACGTGATTTTAGTGATTTTTGCTATCTGTTTTTACTCAAGACTATAATATAATCGACCTATCTACGAACTTCGTAGCTGTATAATATGATACTGATAGTTCTGGTTATGCAGTAATCATATTCAACTTTATCTAAAGCATTAATTTTTATTATCAATAATGATAGATATGTAGCAATGCAGATTAGACTTATTGCCCTCTGTCCCCAGACACTGTATCAAGCTCCCTTGTATAAAGCTCCTCCTATGTTGAGAATCGATTTAAGAAGACTTCACTTAGAGTTCAAATGGATCAAGCTATACTGATGACCTGACTTCAAGCTTGGTGTCAATGGATAGTATTGAAAGTCATGTGACTTAAATTCAACATTTATAGATAACGTTTATCTACGAATTATTGGACAATATTTAATATAATAAACTATAAATAATGCCTTTGAAGACATTTGATGTAACAAACAGTGGAACCGTAATTGCGGAGCCATTGACCCCAGAAGCATTTGCTCCCTACGGTGGAGTCATTAGCGCAGATCATCAAATCAAGAATGTAAAGAGTAGTGAAGCGAACTATGGCACTGCAGTAAAGATTCATAAGGTTGCACCAATTGTTAACAATTTCAAGGACTGTTCGAGTGGAAAAGAAGCTACAGCAAATTGGAATATATTCAGATGTTCTTTTCCCAAAAAATCAATCACAAGAGGTTCCCAAGGCGATCAAGTATACAAGGCCAGAGTATTGGAAAGACACCCTTTCAGTACGCAAACATTTATCCCTATGGGACTGGCACAAACAAAAAATTCATATTTAGTTATTGTTGCAAAAAATGATAAAGATACATCACCCATTAATCTACCAGACCCTAGTACTGTTAAAGCATTTATTTGTAAAGGGAATCAATCCATCACATATGGGCAGGGCATTTGGCATTCGCCCATGGTTGTGATAGATGAAGAATCTCCTTATATTGATTTTGCAGTGTTTATTCATGAAAATGGAGTCGATAATGAAGACGTAGAAGAATGCTACTTTGAACCGGGTTTTGCTATTGAGTATCATAAAGAAGATACCAGATCTAGGGCTAAATTATAAATATATACAGTTTATTACAATGATATTATATGAAGTCAATAATATCTTTAATCACCTTATTTGTATAAGCTTCCTTCTGATCATCATCCATATCCTTAACATCTTGTTTCGCTTGTTGCACTTTCATCAACACCTCTTCTAGATCTATTTCTTTTGAGAGTATTTCTTCTTCTCCTTCTTGGTCATTTAATAAACCTCGGGTCATATCGCTCATATCATTTCGCTTCTTTGCATTATAAGCATCTGGATCTCCAATTTTCTTCAAATCCATCTGACTCCATTCGTTAGTCTCAATTATTTCAAGCAATCTATCCTGTCCAATCTTAACTCTAAATTCATCTTCACCTTTTTCGAATAAGTTTATATACTCAAATCCGAAAGGAATTACTAAATCTTCTACTTCTTCGTTAATCTTCCTTGTATTTGAATTTCCCACCACCACACTAAATAAACCATCGCCCCTGTCTTCTATCAATTTGTCTCGTACGTCAGAAAATACATGCAAGCTTTCTTCTATGTGCTTCGAGGAGACTTGGTCAATACGAACACAAAATATCAAGCCATCTATTGCTTCCCTCAATTCCCGGTAACCATCAGATAAAAACTCTTTACGCCAAGCTTTCAACTCATTGATCTTCACTTCTTCTTCTTCCAGGTCACATTCTAAGCTATCACGATGTTGAGGATATTCATCAACTAACAAATTTAACTTCAGTGAATAATACTTGGTGGATAAATCCGTTTTAAATATAAGTCCACTATGAGATTTAGAATCAACAGAACTGAAGTCCAACTTTCGAGACGATATAAGTTCACATATCCTTATTTTCCCCGTATTAGGAGCACCTAGCACTAGTACGTGGTTAGGGATCATTGTAGCTATGATATGTGAAGCTATATGGTCCGTATTTTTCAGTATGGATATAAAAGATAATTACATACAGGGCATATCAGAACGACCCCGAAAAATCAAAAACAATCAAATCAAAAATCTTGAAATATTGTGATTGAAAACATACCAACAATAGCTATGGCCCCATCCTCAGTAAATGGTAATATGCAACTGCTGGGTATACCAGATAGTCAACCGAATGGAAACTCCACTAATATTGACACTATTAATATAGAAAATTTATTACTTCGGGATGACGATATTTTCCAAACATCATTGAATTCTGAGGATTATCTAGAAAGTTTGGCTCCTATAATCAAAGATGCATTAAAGGTTAATGGCTTGTCTGAGCTTATATATAAACTTAATGAAATAGTGAAGAATAAAGATGATGAATTGAATGATTTGTCGTTAAGTTCTACTCAAGATATAAACTCTTGTATTGATTCTATTGATAATATCCACGTGGAATCATACGATTTAAACCAAAATCTACTGCAAATTAGTCAATTCTTAAATAAATCGGTTCATGAATTGATCACTAGAAAGAAAAATTTAATTAAAAGCAAAGAGGTTACAAGTAAGATTAATGAAACGAACGTGACACTCAATTTATGTATTCAAGTCCTAGAAATTACAAATAAGATTCATGAATTAATAAAGCAAAATAATTACTTTAGTGCGTTGAAATTAATTGATGAATTAACCAATATACATTTACCAAAAGTTGAAAATTTTAGTTTTGCTGTTAAAATTTATGATTCTATCCCACACTTAACGAAGATGATTAAAGACGAATCATTCGAGAACTTAGGTAAATGGCTTGCAATTAATTTAGAACGTAAGTTAGTAGCAATTGGTGAAGCTCTTTTTGATAATTTATTTCTTTTACAACAGAATTGGGAAAAGATTAAAAAAAGTAAGGATTCATCGGCGACCTTTATACCTTATAAATTAAATTCGCCAGTTGAGTTATCAATGCGCGATCCATCCTCCAATTATAATATTTTTGATGATCAAGCATTAAAAATTAGCTTGTCCAGTCTTTTCGATGCTATATTGGTGTATCAAACTTTAAATGAAGAGGACCTATTGTCGAGATTGTACCATAAAGAATGGATGAAGAAATACAATCGTGTAATTTATCCTATAACCTCTTCCGTGAAATCTTCAGCAGTACAAGGAAATAATCCAATTGATAATGTAATAACCGAATTTAATAACTTACCAAGCTTGGACGAATATTTGAAAAAAATAAGTGCATTTTTTGTTATGGATAAACAAATAAACCTTGCCACTAAATTCCAGTTACGTTCTCATGCAAATTCTAATGACTTGTGGGATTCATATGCTATCAAATTAAAGCCTGTATTAATCAATTATTTGAAAACTCATAAATTAGATGCTAATGAGCTAAATGATTTCAAAGATCTTATTGGTAATTTCTTACAGATAATGGAAAATAGTGGCTATAAAATATTTGATCTCTACGAAATTTTAATGATTATTTTCCAAGATTATTTTGGTCCTGATTTAATACAGCAATTCCGTTTGGACTTCATTGAATCAATCCAGTCTGATCATTACATGCCATTAGTGGTTCAAGACAAGCGTGATTATGAGAATGTCATGAAGATTTGCTGGTATAAATCTGATGCACCTTTCGCACCTCAAAATGTCCACTCGATGCCTATAAGTTTCCCATTTAGTGAAGATTATGTTCATTATTGCTTAGGTGTACGATCATTATTAGAAGAAATAATACAATTTATAAGCCAGCATTACAGTTACAATGTCAATGAAATCAATAACTTCATTGTTAATGATATATTCGAAAAAGTACTAGGCAATGAAAAGGGAGTAGGAATAAACTATGATATACAAGAATTCATTGATAAGAATTCCAACAATAAGGAAGTTATGGCCCAAAGTTACACTAATTTGGAGTATTATTTATTCAGTCTTTACGAAATTGGTAAATTAATTAATCGTCGTTTAAGATTGAATACGGGTACCGGTGTTCATAATATAGATGCTAATGGCACATTTACATTAAAAGCAATTGATTTGTTCACAAGCGTTAGGAAATTTTCCGAAGATACAATTTTCCAAATGGTTGATAATAAAATTAGAGAATTGTTGGATATGGTGGAGTATGATGATTGGTTGCCAGAAGTTGCAAATAAAGAAGCAAATTATTCTATTAAGGATTTTGCACTTTTCTTGGAGAACTTGTTCAAATCTATATTTTCAAATTTACCACTGTCATTCAGAACATTAGGGTTATTTAGAAGTTATGATTTTGTGGCAGAGCATTTCTTGAATATCTTGAAAAATGTCGATAAATATAATCGAACAGCCATAGAGAATTTTGATTTGGACATCAGATATTTAGAAGAATCCATGAGTAATTTATATTCTACTCAAGATAGCACGCCAAGCAATAATGAGGCTGGTGGAGCGGTAGCATTACAGTCGACTTTTACAGAATTGAGACAATGTATTGATTTATTAAAATTGAGTAGTTACGAAGATTTTATTAAAAATCCTTCATTTAGGATGAGAAAATTTGATAGAGTTAGGTTGGAAGACGGTTTAAAGCTTATTTCCAAAATGCAACAACCAATAGAAGAGGACGATGAAGATGCAAACATATCTACTCATGAAGAAAGTATGAACACCTCAACAAACAGTATTGACCTGCAAAATCAATCTATGCTTTCCAATTCAGCATCAACCAAATTTGCTAAATTCAGTAGCAAATTTAGAAGAAAAAACGACTTTGACAATTACTAATTGTATAGTATATGGTAGATTTAGTAGTTAATTATATACATGTTATACGGTTATTTCCAAAATTTAAATACATTGGACCACTTCCTCTTGGATTCGTATTCGTTCTTTCTGTCATCTACTAATTGTTGAATTCTATCTTCTAATACCTTAGTCTTTTCAATAAATTTGGCTTCTTTTTCACTAGATGATAAATTTATCCATACAATATGAAGAACGATATATGTTGTAGATGCAATTAAAAAACAGTGGAATAATGGATTTTTAAACTGACTTAATGTAGGTTTCAGAGGCTCGGTTGAGTCACCCAGCGGAAAATTTACATATGAATAACCTCTCAGAATTTTATAAAGAATATTCCTCCTAGCTATGTTTCTTCTTGTTCCCTGTATCACAACTTTCGATATCATATTAGCACACACTAGTAAATCAAAGATAATGCTAGATAATTATATTTCGATTTTTTTAAACCTATAATAATATGCAGGATTTATATTAAGTACCAATACGAATTAAGTTGGTGGCGTCAACATGATGGTTGAGAGATCTAAATTACTTAAATATCACTTGAATAAAGCAATTGCATACTATAACATCATTGAATAATGTTTAGAAATAATTACGATAACGATTCTGTTACATATTCTCCAACAGGTAGATTATTTCAAGTAGAATATGCTTTAGAGGCTATTAAGCAAGGAAGTGCAGCAGTCGGACTTGTATCGAAAAATCATGTTGTATTAGCAGCGTTGAAAAGGAATGCTGAAGAATTAGGATCATATCAAAAGAAGATTATTAAGGTTGATGATCATATGGGAGTTGCTTTGGCGGGTTTAGCACCTGATGGAAGAGTGTTGTCAAACTACTTGAGAAAACAAGCTATGAGTTCCAAAATGATTTTCAATAGACCATTGCTGACTTCTAAGGCAGTATTATCAATTGCTGATAAAGCACAAGAAAATACGCAATCATATGGATCTAGACCTTATGGTGTTGGTTTATTAGTGTCGGGTTATGATGAAACAGGGGCTCATTTATACGAATTCCAACCATCGGGATCTGTATTAGAATACTACGGTGCAGCAATTGGTGCAAGATCCCAAGCAGCAAGGACATATTTAGAAAGAAATTTAGAATCAGTTCGTGAAACTGAATCTGTTGATGAATTGATTGTTCATGGTTTGAATGCTTTAAGAGATACTTTATCACAGGATGTTGAATTGACCTTCAAGAACACGTCTGTTAGTGTTGTAGGAAAAGATACAAGTTTCACTATATATGATGATGAAGACGTTCAACAATATCTTGATAAGTTGGATTCGGTTTCTAACGCTAGGAATAGAGATGATGATGATAATGATGAAGGCAATAATGATACTCACGGTGAGACTAATGAAACTGCCAGCAATGATGTTCCTTCTGAAGATAGAATGGAAACTGATGAGTAACCATAATGATATAGATATTCTTGTAAATTAGATAGTCTTCAAGTTCTTTCTTAAATACATAAAGTTCCATGATATTTTAATTTGTGAGATTACTAAATCGATTTATATATACAGTTATAGACCATTTTACGGTTTACGAAGTTTTCCCATCAATTATTTGGTTATTTTTTTTTGTTGCTCAGCCTGTTGCTTGACGGCAACTTTCTTAATGGCCTCAAGGCATATTTTTTGTATTTCATTGACTTCATCGCGTATTTCTTGAGGATTGTGCATCTTTCTATATTCTCTAACATCGTTAATCTTAACTCTCAATTTGTTAACCATTTCATTAATAATTTGCTTTTCATCTTCTTCCATGAAATCGCCGAATTGAATCAATGCATTCTCTGTATCGGAGCATATTATATCTGCTCTCGTTGCATTTTCCACTTGTTTCTTAGTTTCTTCATCACTCTTAGAATATCTATTACTATCTAATATCATCTCGTTTATTTCTTCTTCTGATAATCCGGTTTCGGCCGAAACTTGAATAGAGACTGTATTCTTTTTATTATAATGTTCCAGATCTTCGGGGTATGGAGTTTTATCTGTAGCCGAAACATTGATAATCCCATCAGCATCAATTTCAAAAGAGACTGCTATTTGTGGAGTACCTTTAGGTCCTATAGGAATATTCGATAGTTTAAATTTACCGATTAATTTATTATCCTTCACTAAAGTTCTTTCACCTTGGTAAACTCTGATTTCAACCCCAGTCTGACCGTCAACTGCAGTAGAAAATATTTGCTCTTTTTTTACAGGTACTGCTGAATTTCTTGCAATCAAAGGGCTAAATATTCCACCATACGTTTCAATACCTAATGACAACGGAGTAACATCTAGTAAGACAACATTTTTAATTTGACCTGATAATACAGCACCTTGAATTGCCGCTCCTAGAGCTACAGCTTCATCTGGATTAACAGAAGTAGTTGGCTTCTTGTTAAAAAGAGATTCAACAGTCTTCCTGATTTTTGGCATCCTTGTCATTCCTCCAACTAAAATAACTTCATCAATATCTTTAATCTTCAAATCTGCATCTCTAATACATCTCTTTACAGGGTCAATTGTTTTATTAATCAAATGCAATGACATTTCGTCCAATTCATCTTCAGTTAGTTTCATTTTGATATGCTTGTCCGATGTTATGAATGGAATATTAATTTCGGTCTCCTTGACATGGGAAAGCTCAATTTTGCATTTTTCGGCCGCTTCACGGGCTCTCTGAACTGCAATGGTATCTTTCAGTATATCCAACCCGTTATTCTCCCTTTTGAACGTATCTAATATATGATGTAATAACAAAATGTCAAAATCCTCTCCACCCAAATGAGTATTACCGTTCGTTGCTCTCACCTCAAATACACCATCTTCAATATCTAAAATTGAGATATCAAATGTTCCTCCACCTAAATCAAAAACAGCTACAACTCCATCTTTTTGCTTTTGATCGATACCATAAGCTAATGCTGCAGCTGTTGGTTCATTAATTACCCTCAAAATGTCTAAACCAACAATCTTTCCGGCACTTTTAGTGGCCTGTCTCTGAGAATCATTGAAATATGCTGGAACTGTCACAACCGCATGTTTAATTGATTTCTTATCATCATGCAAATGTGATTCCGCAATTTCTTTCATTTTTTTAAGAATGTATCCACTTATTTGTGAGGGAGAAATTTTCCTACCGCTAGATGTAGCTACCCACGCATCACCATTTTCATGTGGTACGATCTTATAAGGAGTATTTGCAAGATCCCTTTGAACTTCGTCGTCTTGAAATTTTCTTCCGATTAACCTTTTCGTAGCAAAGAAAGTATTTTGGGAATTTATTGCACTTTGTCTTTTAGCCGGTAATCCAACTAAGGTATCAGTATCTGAAAAAGCAACAATTGATGGTGTTGTTCTGCCACCTTCTTCATTTTCCAATATTCTTGGTTCATTCCCTTCTACGATTGCAACTGCAGAATTCGTAGTTCCTAGATCAATTCCAATAACAGAATGTTGGAAACGCCTCGAAATTGAATTCCTTTGTGTTGGAAACAATAACTTTGATTTTCTTAACATTGATCTTCCAAGCATTATTCACATATAATCTATTGATTAATAAAAACAAAAAAGAAGTTGCTTGATGGATTAAACACTACAATTCAAAAAGGTCCTCATAAATTTATATTATGTGCAGTTCTATATTATAAGAAAATTACTAAAGATGAAAACTTAGAATAACATTAGTCTATTTGCAAGAATCTTGAATTATTTGAATCGTTCTCAAATGAACTAAAAAGTAGCAAGCCTAGAACATCGACTCCACAAACATTTAAAAGAAATTTTGCAATTGAGTCTGTTTTATGTACAATATTCCTTGAAACTTTTCGCAATGACGAAGTAGAATATGTTTCTATGTACCCTTGGCTCGTGTAGACTTTGCAGTACGTGGCATTAGAATTGATAGACTTAATAATGTCGAGCACAATACCAAGGGAATGGAATTTGGTATGGCCCACAAGCATACCCCGTTTATAAATTTCGCCATTTATGATATGTGTATTATTATCTGCATCCAATTTGGGCTGCATTCTTTGGAAAGCGATTTTTGAATTAACTGGATCCAATAATTTGAAGTTAGTTTGAAAAATTCTAGACATATCGTCAAGATTTAGTTTAAAATATTCTACCAACATTTTCTTTTTTAATGGATTCAGCTCAATGGCCTCCATCACAGAGTTGAAATATATGAAATTATTTTCTTGATTGAAAAATTTTTCAAACTCCGAACAATACATAAATTTGGAAAACCCACCTTCCCTGTATTCCATTTGTAAAAAGTTGCAAACGAATTTAGCAAATTGATATTCCTTATATTTATACCCCACACAAGACCTCTTTTCCATTCCAACGATCCACAGATTATCAAGTACAAAGCTCGTTTCTGGCTGACTGATTGCATACGACCGTTTTACACCACATTTCGTATCCAAATTCATGAAGTACGCTAACATATCTTTCAACAATAAAGGCTTTAGGTAGTAAGAAATTTGAGTGAGAGTTGATAGATTGAATTCAGTACGTAAATATTGAATTACTTGCTTCGATGTGTAGTGTTCAACAACGTATGAATTATTAGCGTCTCTAGGTATAAGAAAATAGTGGTTATTAATCATGAAGAATGTGTTACTAAAATTGATTGATATGGTCCCATACGAATTCTGAGCACCTATTTTGAAATTGTATTTTGATAATAAAAAATCGTGAAGTATCTTCATAAGAATCGAATAAACTAGGATATGATGACCCTTGACATTTTCATTATAAATTCTCAAGATACTGAAATCTTCTAAACAATACGTCTCTGAGTATTCGAAATATTCTTCGGGCGAATAAAATTTGCATTTACGACCAAGCTTAGATAAAATTAGTCTAATGATATACCACATTAGCTCTCCAAATATCTTATTGTCTTGAAAAACTATTGTTCCTTTTGATGATTCGTCAATTTGAATTAAACTTACTTTTTCTCCCCATGATCTATGCTGGAGGATTTCTAAATAAATCTCCTTGTATAATAATGCATGAATCTCTGTCAATTTCAGCAGCCTGGAAAAAATCATATCAGAAAAGGCTTTGTCGAAGCCGTTTATTTTGAACCAGAACCATTCAAAGGCTCCAGGAGAAGAATCCTTTATATCTTCGCTAATCAACCTATTAAAATATTTTATCCCGAGCCTGAAGCTGTAAGTATTCAACAAATTACAGGCAAGCGATCTTTTGGTGATATCGAAAACCAGATCATTATAACATCGCTTTCTTTGATCTTTTTCATAATTCTTGATTATAGGAATATAATCAAAGTCATTGAAACTGTCCAAGAAAAATGCAATATTATAAACTTGTTCTCGGGGTTTGTACTTTTCCATGTAAAGTCTGAATTTCATATCCTTGTGATAAAATGTCATAGTCCGCTCAAAATATGGTACGTTTGAACAATAGCCTATAGTTTTCTCGTGTTCTTCCAGGTTTGGATCATCATCAATTATATTATACTGGGTAATCAAATCAAAGTAATACCAACGAAAAATATCATACCAGATAATATTATGATGCAATACACCGTAAAGAAGTCTATTTACTTCAGATAAGCTCAAAATGTCAGTGAGTGTTAAGATTTGTAAGTCCTTTACTCCTATACTTATAATATTATGCCATATATCAACTGGTAATTCATCAATTTTCATTATAATTCATATTTAACTTATTGTTGTTTAGAAACCTGTCCGTATTATTCTAATTGTTTAATGTTGTAGAAACAATTCCACGCAGATTTGATGCTTTCGCAAAAAAAAAAAATCTCTTCTATGAATCTTGGAAGTTACAAGCATATACAAACATGGGCAAAAGAAAGGCAGGCAATTCAAAAGGTGGGAATAAGAATAAGAAATTCAGGGTTAGTGGATTTATTGATCCAAATACTAGTGGGATATATGCTACATGTAACAGAGGTAAAGAACAACAATGCCGAAAGGAATTAATAAACTTGTTCTCAGATAAGGCTGAAGAATATTTTAATTTGGATGAACTAAACGAAGAATCTGACGCTGAGAAAGATGATAAGGATCTTTCTATTGAAGAAAAAATTCAAAAAGAATTGAATGACATGCAAGACTCCAAAGGTACCAAGAAAGAAATTCTCAAACCTATTGATTTAGGTTGCGAATGTCTTGTATTCATTAAGACCAGAAGACCAATTGAACCAGCAACATTTGTCGAAAGAATTTGTGAAGAATTTTCCGAGTCTAAGTCCAAAACAACTAGATATACTCAAAAACTATCACCAATAACGTTTTCCGTTACACCCACTATGGAAGAGGTTAAAAAATTAGCAGAAAGAGTGTTGGGTCCACATTTTCACAACAAGAATGATCAAAAGCCTTATAAATTTGCAATTCAGGTTTCAAAGCGTAACTTCAATACTTTACAAAAGCCTGACATCATTAAGGCTGTTGCTGAAAGCGTAGGCAGGGATCATGGACATTCAGTGGACTTGAAGAATTACGATAAATTGATAATGGTGGAATGTTACAAAAGCAATATTGGTATGAGTGTAGTAAATAATTATGATAGATTAGAAAGATTTAACTTGCAGCAAATATTTGAAAAATCTGTTGACAGTGAATCCAAAGACAGAAATCAAAAATCAGAAATTGGCCAAGTTTCCGATAACTCAGTCAGTCTCAACAAGGAAAACGACCAACATGATGAGCAATCGAAAGAGGACTGATGATACAATTTAAATATAAATTAACATATATTCTACAAATAGATAAATATATACCCCATCTAAATAAGTAAGACGCTTTCCTTGTATTGGACTGCCTCTTTCCAAGCTAGCCAATCGCTCTCACTATTAGGGATTAAGCCCATATTGTACAATTTCCATATACCAACTGCCATACATGCCAATTGACATACTACAAAGACTGTTCGTGTCAATAATATGTCGCTGGCATTTTTTTTTGTTTCCAAACTTTTGAAATTAGCGTTTGTTTCAGTGAATATAGCTTTTAAAGGATTCCAAAAGAGCATTAACGTCATCATAATTGGGATAATCTGCAAAGAGTTTCCAGTCATATAACTCATAATCAAATTCATAGGTATGGTTTTAGCAGGACCCAATGCGATTTCCCATGCCTTCTTTACTTTTAATTCTTCTAACCGTTCAAGGTCTGGTTTATTATTTGAACGGACTGTAGCATTTGACTTATTATGTTGCAGCGAAATTAAATCGCTATTAAAGCCTGCTGGTAGCGTAATTTGTCTTTTCCCTGATATCTTAGCATCCTTTACTATACTCGGGTTTAAAAGTTCCCCGTATGATTCTGATCTCGAAGCCATATCTATTGATTCCTTAAAATGAATCGAGAGAAGGCTTAATATTTCAATTCAGTGAGTAGTAAAGTCTTGTTTATATGCAGAATTTATCGTCAAATGACAGTACATACTCCCTTACTTGTAGATATGATTCATGTAGAATCACCTACAAATCATAGATTCAATTTAATACAATATAATCATACATAGAAGATGAATTCGACTACATCATCTAAAGATAATCCTTTAAATAAGATCATAGGATTGTCTGTGGTTTTATCAATGGGGTTCCTTCTAGTCGTTTTGGCAGGAATATATGGCAATTGGTTTCCGATTATCAATGGTGTAATATTTGCCATTGCACATTTGCCAGTTGCTATAACGAAAGCTATAGCTGATTCTAATGATTATGACTTCAGTTTTGATCCTGTGTCGTCCTCTCGAGGAAGCGTTTTAAAAGAGTTTGGCCAGTTTACTTCAGCATTTTTAGTAGTTACAGGATTTTATTTACCCATATTATTACACCATTCTCATATATTAACAAAAGTTGCTATGATATTGACAATAATAGGCGGAAGCTTAATTTATGGTACTGTTTTCAAATTTAGCCTGTACTTTGACGAAAGTGAGGACCATGAAGCAGAAGATTTTGGTGGTGTTATTTAATTAATACATCCCCAGATGGATACGAACGCCTCTTACACTGTATATTTGATCAATCATAGCTCTCTACCGTCATATATAATGTATATTGTAAAATCGATTGAAGTATACTCAAATTTACGATTCCTTAATACCATTTGTCGTTGTGCGTAAATTCTAAAACGAGTTTCAATCAATCTCAAGTTAAATTTTAGAATACTGATAAAGATAGTATTTAAAAAATATATCAATCAAACATGACAGTCAACCCAAGCGCTGATTTTGCTTCAGCAGAACTTGAAATTGTTCAAGAACAACAGCTGAAGGAAAAGATTGTAAATGAAGAGTTTAAAATTTGGAAAAAAACAGTACCATTATTGTACGATACTATCCATACACATGCGTTAGATTTCCCTTCGTTATCCTTACAATGGTTGCCCGATTATACAGTCTCCGAAAATAAAAACTACGTGACTGTTAAGTTTTTATTTGGAACCAATACATCCCAACATTCCCAGGATTACTTGAAGTTGGGATCTTTAAGCTTACCCAGTACCCTTGCGCCAGACTTTGCTGAGTTTTCACCTAATTCTCAAAGCATACCGATTCCGATGTCTAATATTGATTCATCAGATAATTTCAGAATATTATCTAGCTGGAAGCATAATGGAGAAATTAACAAGTTAAGAATTTCCCCCAATAATGAAAAGGTTATAACATTTGATAATGAAGGAGTTGTTCACTTATACGACTTGAAATCAAACAATAAGGAAGCAGTTGACTTCAAGTATCATAAATTAGAGGGTTATGCTTTAGAATGGATTGATGAAAACCAATTCTTGTCTGGTGCTAATGATTCTCAAATTGCTTTATGGGACGTATCAAAGCCCTCTACTCCAATACAACGATTCAAATCTCACAATGCTGTGATCAATGATTTATCTCATAATACTCAAGAAAAGTCTTTGTTTGGTTCTGTGGCCGATGATTATAGTTATCAAATTCATGACTTACGAGCATCATTTCAAGATAATCCAGCTATTAAAATGGAAACCAGCCATATTCAAAATTCTTTCGCCTTCAATCCTGAGATTCCTACTTTATTTGCAACAGGTGGTAAAGAAAATGTGGTTTCCTTATACGATTTGCGGAATCCATCTGAACCATTTCGTAAGTTGTTTGGACACAATGATAGTGTCATTGGTATTGAGTGGAATAAAAATAACGACCCAAATAAATTAATTTCATGGGGCTTAGATAAAAGAGCAATTTCATGGGATTTATCTTACTTGTCTGATGAGTTTACTTATCCAACTAATGAGCCTACAGAAGGTTCCAAAAGAAGATACACTAAGAATGTGGATCCATGCTTAGCTTTTATACATGGAGGTCATACAAATAGGATCAATGAAGTTGATATACACCCTAAAATTAATGGTTTGACAGCAACCTGTGGAGATGACAATTTGATAGAAATATGGAAGAGTAAAACTATTCAATTAGAGAATGAGGAAGAAGAGGAAGAGGAAGGAGAAGAGGAAAGTGAAAAATTAACTAGTCCAGCTGAAAATAATACTGAGGGATCCAAAACTGATGCCTCCAACAACCTAGAAAATGAGGATACTGTAATGAAAGATTAGATACTTTTACTTTACATAGTAATTTTTTTCGTAGAATTTCCTGTATATTGTAATGTATTTATATTCCGAATAAAATGATGTCAACTTCACTTTATGAATATTTGAAACTGCTACCAAAGGAAGATAAAACATCATTGAAGGATTCATCTGTATCTGCTTCAGTGTTGGATAGGCTTTCATCTGGAATATGGAAAACGAGCAAGTCAAAAAAAGGCGATCTGCATCACCAGCAGTATCGAGTAAAGAGGTCAAGAAAAGTAAAGTTGAAAAGGAAAATTTGCTAGATGGCCATAGTGCATCTCCGTCTGGACTATCTAATAGATATCCAACGGAAGAAATAGAAGACGAATCATATGAAGAAATAAGCAAACAATATAAAAAATTTTCTAATGCTCCAAAGTTTAATCTCAATAGTGAAGAATTATTCTGTATATGTCGAAAGCCAGATCATGGAGGAGAGTTAATGATTTCATGCGATAGCTGTGATGAATGGTTTCATTTCAAATGCATGAAATTGAATGAAGATCACTCCAAGCTAATCGCTAAATTTTATTGCAAGTTTTGTCGCTGGAAGGGAGTCGGCAGTACAAAATGGAAAAGAAAATGCCGTTTAGAATGGTGCTGGGAACCTATTAGGGCTGACTCTAAATCCAAATATTGTTGTGACGAACATGGAATAACTTATATTAAACAAACCTTGTTGATCAAGAATGGAATTAATGATTTGATTCCAAATGATATCAAGTCTATATTTAATTATTGTACCACCTCAGACAATGGCTACCAAAAGCTAGTTCTTTTAGGTTCAAAATTCCCCGAATTGCCAGAAATTTCCTCACTCAAAAAGGATGGATCCGACATTTCAGAGTTGCCTGAAAGTCTCAAAAATAACTTAACTAAAATAGGTTCGAATCTCGATAAAATTAATTCTCTTATTGATTTTTGCAGACTCAAGAGTGATTACCTACTAAAAATTAAGGAAAAAATTAAAATAATTAATGAAAGGTTACAGGCATCTTATCAAGTTGAAGATCAAACAGAAAATTGTGAGGAATCGTCGAAAGGTAAAAGATCCAAAGATTCTAAAAGTAAGAAATCTAAAAAATTTGACCTTTGTTGCTATGACAAATCTATAAATCAAGGAATTCAAACCGATATACTGTCGAAAAATGATATTGAAAAGTTCACTATTTCTGAGGATATATATACTGACTATAAAGAACAAATTGATAATATAATAGGTTTTTATCGTGAACATAAGGATGATATCGATTCAAATTCATGGTTTGAAAATACAATATGCTTACAGGATAAACGTAAATGTCCAAGGCATAATGGTTGGTGGAATTTAATAAATGATGAAGTTGTTAAAAGATACAATGAACTATCCATTAATGCAAAGAAATTAGAAGATGAGAAATTAATCATGTTAAGAAACTATAGCATTAAGATATATGAACTGCGAAGTTAATATCGCTTGTACGCTTTTACGTCATTAGTCATATATAACATAATATTTAGAGACTAATTTGCTAACAAAAATCGACGTATTAGTAAATATCATGTCATATTATAAAAGATAACTAGTCCCTTTTGCTTATCATAAAGTCCATATTTTTCAATACTGATCATGTAGTTTATGTGAAATAATAAATAAAAAAAAGTTGATTATTTCAGATGAACAAATTGTTCTAATCTTTAATCAATGCTCACATTTTGCAAAAATACGTATAAATTACTATATTTATTTAAACACCATAAATTTTACAAAAGGACAATTCATTAAAAAACTTAGGTACTTATATGTAATATAGATATAATATAAACCATCTATTACGCCATTTTTCATACTCAACAATAGATTATCATATAGATTATTAGTTCTAGATACCATTAGTTTTCATCTAGGTTTCCTTCAATCCATTGATTGTTGCTACAATTCTTCTCGATGGCCTATTATCTCTGAACTCAGCAAGATAAATTCCCTGCCACGTTCCAAAAGCTAATTTACCATTACTTATTGGAACTGTAACGTTTAAACCAGTAATCGTAGCCTGTCCATGAGATTTAGCATCATCAAGTCCCTCTAATATATGTATATATTCGGCATCATCAGGAACTATTCTATCAAAGATATTGATCAAATCTGTTCTAACATCAGGATCGTAATTTTCGTTAATGGTTAAACCAGCACTAGTATGTTGAATAAATAAATTTAATTGACCTATTTTATAGTCTCTTATCTCAGGAACATTACTGAGAACTTCCTCTGTGATTAAATGAAAACCCTTTTTTTTAGGTTTTAATGCAAATTTAGCTTGATCCCAAGATGTTGTCATTTTTTGTTTAATTACTTGGGCTGGGAGTATTCTTTTTCTGGATGTTCTAGAATATTTATATTTACATACTGCATATAAAAATATCATGGCGAATGGGCAGCAATTTATATATCCAGCTAGACACACTTGAAGTCTAGTTGCAAATACCTACAAATGGCAATCATCATACATTCAAAGTTCCTTCTTCACTAATTTTTTTTCCTAAAAAACCATACTTTCCTACATTTAAAATGTAATTAATAACATTGAGAGAAGATCTATATGTATATTATGATACTAAGAGCATATATATAGGAATAAAGCATTGAAATAACATTGAAATCGTCATTCATAATACTTCTAAATTTAAATGAAGCAGTACAGATATAAATGGAAAATAGCGATAAAATCCGGTAAGTACACTACTATAGTATACACACACAGAATTGAAAGTAAACAAACGTTGATCTATGATAAATATCTTCCATTTCAATGACGAACGAAACAAAAAAACGGCATTATGATAAATATAGAGATCCCTTTGAGATACACAGACTTCAATCCGAGGCAAATGTAAAGAAAATGAGGATGGAAAGAAGGCTAAATGTTTTCAACGGGAATGCAATTAATTCAGGTACAACTCCAGTTACACTGAAACTGTCAAGAGAATTCAGAAAAACACATGTTCTCAGTGATAAGACAAATATGAACAGTTTGAACCCCAGTCTTAGATATAGAAAAGAAAATCTGATAGTAAAACCCAAAGTCACGATTTCAGGTATGAGAGACTCAATTATTGCAATGCATCGAAAACCTAGCGGTAACAAAACAAGCATCCAGAAGTGTCCTCCAGATAATGCAAACAAAATCTCCATCTTTACTTTATCATCAATCATAAAGAACACAAAGTTTACAACAAATATGAAAAATGGTGGTAATGATCGACTACTTGAAATTTGGAAAGATATTGTGAAATATACCCCATTCGAAAGAATTAATATAACAAAGGGCAGCATATTATTGCAAGCACATTTATATGCGAAGAGATTTGTCGAATGGTTCAAAATTAACAAATTTGACTACATACTCGTCGATAAAGATTTGGAGGCTTTGAGAGCTATCTATAATAGTGAAAAAGTTCGTGCAAGTATAAAAATGAAAAATACTTCTGTGGATAGTAAACAGAAGGAAGGAATGGTTGATCAACTATCAAAACAAAGATATATTCGACATGAACAATACAAAAAAGCTTTCAATCCTAGTCCAACTCACATTGTACAGACATATAAAAGAGTTGGTAAATTTATGAGCACAGCGAAGGTAAAAGATATTCAAACAAATGAAACTTCTGTTGTTTTGTTACTTCGGACGGATATTAGATTTAAAGTTGATACCAATGACTTATTGATATTAATGGATAAATCGTGTACTACGCACTTAATAGACAACAAAAAAATTCCAGTATATATGAATTGGCAAATTTATAGAGAGAGGCCGATAGATATAGATTTCTTTAGCTAAATATGTACCTAAATTATGATTTACGACTTAGAATATAGTGTTATATACTAAATCTCGAACAAACAACATCGGTTCTAGTAAACGAATTAGATCAGAAGGATAAATTTGGTTTTCCAAAATCGTATCTATTCAAGCCATTTGATGAATTTTGCCAATGTTATAATAATTGTATGTAAGCCGAAAAATACTACATACCAAAACATCTTCTGTCAATAGAGAAAGAAAAGCAAAAATGATAATAAACATTTCAAAATTCACAAAAAAGCCTTCTTTCATAACATATTCAGCTAATAGAGAAATTTATGATGAACAAATATCATCAGCTCTATATTTAAAGACAATATTCAAGATGCAAAAAGAATTAGTTCCCTTTTGTCTGATAGAAACACTCAATTTAATTGTTCTTTTTGAAAAACTATTTTAACTATCTTAGGGTACACACAGCTAAAGAAAGACCCTTGTCAAATTGTAATTGATTTCGATCATTATTCAACAGACTGAGAAGAATTGCTTCCTATATTAGAGTTTCCCCCGATAGCACATATCAAAATTCAACTAAAGCTACATGTTTATGGCACATTTAGATCCAAAACCTTCCTTTCCTACGATACAAAGTACATCGCATCTTGAAAAAGCCACAAATCAACATAATTTTTGACAGAAAAGTTAGAATCAAATTATGACCAAAAGGGACTTTGGAACATTTGGATATAGAGGTTAGTTATACGTTCTTACTTAGTGGATCCATTTATTTCTAGTTCCAGTGAAAATACTTTCGAGGACTGGATACTGACGAACTAGATGTGAGAAGAAATTCTGCTTATGAGTCTACGTTTCGAAGCAACTGCGAACATTCTTGAATGCATAATATCAAAGCAGGCTAGCTTGCAATTGAATGCGAATTGTGAAGGTGACGACATTTCAGAGCAAGTGATTTAATTGCTTAAAACCATACAAATTCGCACCCAAATGCTTCTTACTAAGCTCAAAATGATCCATAGCAATAGGCTGGTATAATAAGGCAGAGCATAATCTTCGATATCGGAGAACTGTTATTATTCTACAAAGATGAATATGATGCAGAATTTTTGGACATACCGAAAATTATAATTCGCTAATTATTAACCCATTGAGTATGGACATTTCAAACTTGTTAAAGAAATCAACAATCATACCTCAAAGCGGTCATTCATTGTTTTCGAGAGCTTAACATAGGGCTAATATAAAATGTTTCAATTATTTTCGCCAAATACTGGAACAATACCCTGAAAGTTCTCCTAGGATAATTGAATGACCCAAATTAGTTAAAATAATTGGATTAAGCAGACTCGTGTAGTCTTATTGTCAGAGTGTCTTCCTTTCCATGGAAATGCTATATATTATGAAGTATTTAAAAAGCAAATTCCTAAAATTTCAGAAATTACCTTGTACTAGAAAAATAACAGACCATTAAACACATCCGAAAAATTTCTTGCAGCAGAAAAACTCAAAAACTTCTTTTATTAGTTCTTCCTGTTCAGAATCTTCAACAAATTCCTTCTTCCTCAGAAGCTAGTCAGACATTTTCCTGAAGAACGCCTACTTCTACTTCTAATAATTCATCTGATTCTAATCAGACGAGGGGAGTGGGAGTTTGTGAAATAAATTTCGTTTCTAAGGTATGTACATTATCATAAGAATGAAAATCAGATAGTTACAACAATGATTTGTATTATGCTTGTACAGTATTTTTTTTTTACCCTAACTACAATGCAACCTTAAGTCAAGTTTCATTAATTTTAGTATAAGATATAAAATATGTGTATTATGACCACTTGTCACAAATCACCTCTTTATTAACATTAATTGTCAGCGCCAAAATATATTCATTTAAACCATAACATAAATAATCCGAAGATTAAAAAATAAATTGTAACAAACATGGCTATTATTTTCTATCATTAAACATGTATTTATACCCGCAACAGATGTAGAAAATTATTTTACAATTTACTAAACTCTAGTTGATTTTTTTGAAATGATCCTTTTAAATTTTATCATTAAATATAAATTAAAATATTCTATCCTAATTGAATAATAAAAATCGAGCAATTATTGCAAAAAAAAAAACAATTGAAATTTCTATAGTATTTAATAAATTAAAATAAAATGCATTATTATTTATTTGAATTACAGTTATTATTTCAAAAGAGAGATAAGTTATCAGTCTGTTATTAATTCATTATTTAATTTTCTATACATCAATACTCTTCCTAATAGTTCTTAAAATTTTGAGATATAGAATTAATTCTATAGCATACCAAAAAAAAAAAAGCCAAAACTTGCAAAGTACCGTGGTGAA